GCGGTCTCTTAGTTCCTCATAATCCGCAATGTCTATAAAATCATCGAAAAATCGTATCGGATGTTGCGAATCGCCGCGACCTGAAAATCCAAGTTCCCCGAAGGGGTTTCCTCTCGGGGGATCGCGAGTCGCGTAGCGTTGTTTCGCTTCTATCTCTACGCAACGCGGTATTTTCGATCTGTGTCTTTCCGATATATACTCGCGATCATGCTCTGGATCATAGAGATCCTCGTCTCGATCGTCGCGGCGTTCATGCATTCGATTGTTTTCGTTTCGGTTTCCGATGTGGTCACGGTTCGCGGAAACCGCGGATATCTGTGATCTCGCGTCGTCTTTGGTTTCTATCGATTCGTTACTTCCGTACCGCTTTTGCACGCGATAACTGTTCCATTGTTCAGTTGTCATTTTGGGTTCGTCACTGTCGGGTTTGTTCGTATTTATCTTTGTTAGAAATTCTAATTGGACCGCCATACCTTTTACCATCGCTTTCATTTCGTCGAATTGCTCGCTCATTTGTCTAATTCGCGGATCTATCGGTGGTCTGCTTTTCGCGATCGCGGATCTACCGGTACTGTTCAATATCGACGATTTTTCAAAACCCCAGCCGGTCAAGCTTGGATCTAGAACGGAGTTTCCCAACATCGCTCTGTCGGTGTCTGCGTTGCCGCTGGCTGTCACGACATTCGGCGCGTCCGTCCGAGACGCTAGGCTGATCTCCGATGTGGTCCTACTTAGGCCTTGACTTCCTTCGGGTACGAACGTTGGCGGTTTGATGATCGGTTGCGAAGGTCCGTATATTCGTCCTGATCGCGTCGCGGGTCCGATTTCGGATTCTATGAACGCTACATCCCCCTTGGGGTTGCCCTTGCCCTCTGCGATCGACATTTTTACTCTTTTCCTGCGCGGGTTCCCTACGCGTCTTACTAAAGTCTCACGGATCTATCGTATTTCTCGCTAACCGAAAGTGATCGCGTTCTAGTTTATCGATTTGTTAATAACGACTTCGAGATTCTAGGCGTTTACGGCGTAAGCGTATTTATATCGTTAAAAGTTTACCTACGTTTGCGCTTTTTGATGATCCCGAGATAATCCTTATTTGCTAATAAATATTCTATAATATTCGGCGCGTATGTAAATATAAGACTTAAAAACTATTTTATATAAAAAAAATGCAAATACAATACACCGGGTAAGTTGTTCACTTATATACTAAGCTTAAATATTATTTATAACTACGGTTGAATATTGTGAACTTTATTGTACACTGTTGAGTAACGTATGGATGTACATTGCGAGGGGACGACGCTCGCAATATTATGTCTTAGAGTATCACGAATGATTTTGGGTCCCTTTGACCTCGAACTATCTGGTTTATTTAATGTCTACTTGTACAGATAATTAGATCTTGCGCTTAATATAACGCGTATGTTATTTGTTTCCTTCGCTTGTAGTCGAAATTAATCGGGAAGTGGGATAGGAACACAGAATATTTGTTATCTAATATCTGAGAAGACTGAAAGTTGTATTAACCATAGCTCGGTAAATTGTTAATAAATTTTGGCAATGTTGTGTGTCCAAGTATGTTTCAATGTTAGCTAGTAAAGCCTCTAAGTGGAATTCAGTTAAGTCTTTCCGTTTAAAAGTTCACTCTGTGACCTTATGGTGTAAAATCTCATCGGAAAGTGGTCATTTTTGGTACAAAATAATTAATTTAAAATAAACTATTTGTTATAATTATCCACTCAGGGTGTCTGCAAGTTCAGTTTTTTATTCCTTAACTAAAAATTCAAGTTGCATCAAAATCTGACTTCAAACAAAAAAGTTATTCCAAAATATTGATGTTATTTCTTTGTCGCAAGTCGCAGCGACCTCAAAACTAGTTTATTTAATATCTCAGCTATTAATGACTTAATCTTGATCGCTGAGGTGTCACTGGTTTCAGTTTTTGCTTTACTTTTTGAATATTATTGCTTGAAATACGTCCAATGCTCGGAAATGCTTTTTCGTGACGATCACTTTCACTTTACCACGAGCTAGGTTAGGAAAACTGTCAATGTTCTATCTCAGTCAATTGTTGCTTAATCTTAATAATTTTTCGCATGCAAGTAGCTTATTACGCTACCAAATGAAGCATCTGAGCGAAATTTGGCTGAGTCTTACAGTTGAAAAGTTTGCTCATATACCTTGACATACAGATTTTCTTCGGAAATGGGCCTTTTTTTCCACAAAATAATTAATATCTCCGGTTCTATTTGCACTAATTACACCGTTGGGGTGTCAACAAGTCGGGTTTTTTATTTCCTTTTTGAAAATTTTAGTTGCAATGATGTCAGGTGCCTTGTTTAAATTTTATCTCAAAATAGTGGTGTAAAATGACTTTTTCTGACACTGAATCTTTGTTTAGCGGTAACTCTGGTAATTGTTAATTAATCCCTTTGATTTTTTGTTTGCTAGTTTCTTTTTAGCTACTCTACTATGGCATCTAAGCCGAATTTTGCTCAGAGGTTCGTGGGAAAGGTTCGCTTTCAGACCTGTTAGTGCCAAATTTAGTCGGAAACGAGTCAATTTAGAGTGAAAATAATTAATATTTCGCGTTCTAATTATGCAAATTGAATGGTTCTTGATCGAGCAGACTCAGAATTTGATCTTCTTTTTGAAAATTTAAGCGGCTTTGCCGTAATTCGTCCAGAGAAAAATCTATCCGGGAAAAGTGACTCTATATTTTTAGTCGCAGTCGCAGCGACTGTTCCAATTGTAACTTTGAATATCTCAGTTATTTCTGAACCGAATTTAATGTTTCTTGGCTCGCTGAGTTCGTTTTTACGTCTACTTGTGTCGAATCTAAACAGGAATTCGCTCTCATGCTTGGTTCGGCATGCGCTATGCAATTAGCAAACTATCTTTGTTATCCGCTGACAGCAAATCTATAAATCTTTATATTTCCTAACTCCGTTTATCGATCTCGACGTTTCTGGACTCTACAGATTCGTCTTTTTATTCTCTCGCTAGTTTTTCACTCGCGGTTTCGATTCGCCTCACGTATGAGGGTGTTCCTTTGTCAAGTGTCATAAAAATGAATAAAATCTTTAAAATCAATATCTCCGGAACGCGTTGTTCGATCTTGACGGTCCGGATGTCGTTAGCTTTAGATTTTCAATCTCTACTTGAATTTTAACGCGAGAATTGCGTTCACTGTCTCGAAATGCTAACTCTAAGCACTGACTCTATGTTGAGGTTATTCTAACCTCTCGCGCGCACTACCGGCACTAATCTTTGGTCTGTCGTGTGTAATGTGTAGTAATTTGAGTTTCTCGACTCACCGTTGGTGTTTTCTTTGCGTCGGGTCGTTCACGTACGCAGTCTTTGTCCCTCGTTGCCGAAATCACTTTCGGATGTTCGTCCAGTCAACCAGATCTGTCCCGGGATGGATTCCTTCGTCCTCACAGCTGCGGCGGGCACTTTTTCACTGATAATCCTTTTAGTCCCTTTGTCGCGCACTCGCACCGGACACTCTCGACGGTTTCGCGACGTGGGCGATGTAATAATGTCACTGTATACGCGCGCGCGACTCTCCGCACGTCCGCTCGCTATGGCGGCTCGGCGCGTTCTTTTTTAATATGGCGGGCACTACTTCCGTGCGCGCGTAGTAATATATGGTCAATCTCAATATCGGCGACGCTGCTTCGGGGCGGAATTTCACAATTTTTTCGGCGGCACTACACTTTGGTTCACTTCGGAACGTTGTTTTACGACATTCACTTAATCACTCTTACACTCACGGTCGCCACGTAGGTTTTGTGGTGTCCGGCGGCTAACCCGGAACTCGTCGGTGTCAGTCAGCTCGGTAATGAGCCGCGGTTGACGTCCTCCTTGTAGAACACGGGTCGGCCGGTCGTTCGCCTTCCTCTTTTGACAGTGTAACCGGACTGCGAGTCCTTCCTCGGGTCCAGAGGGTGAAGAATGCAGGTTCTAGAGGTTCGATAAGATGGTCGCCACCCGTCCACTTGGTTAAGCCACGGCGCAGATTTCCGAAGACGGACGGGGATCCCGGAACAAAGTTCTAACACCGTGTATTTCACAAAAGTCTTTATTCTCAACCTTTTACACAAAGGGTCACTATCCGCCGTTACTTACTCGCCTATTCGCGTCGCGTCCGCGGGGGTTTTTTATTTAACGTCGCACGCGACGGAGTGCTTTCACATACGCGTTCGGCCTGCTCTGGGGTTCGAGAGCTACTACTTGGCGCCTTCGCGCCTTCCGCATCTTCACACAGTCCGTCGAGTGTGTGGAGATGCGGAACCTTATTTCCCGAACCGAACACATAGTCACGCTCCTCCGTGGGTTCGCCTAGAGGGCGTTCTCCCCGGTCGGTATTACCGACTTCGACGTTATAGAAATAAACTCGGCTTATAAAATTATAAAATAAACTTTGCTCGCTTTTTTAGACTTATCGCAGACGCCGGCCACTCGCACTCTATACCGTGTTCATGATGACGCTTCGGCTGTCGCTGCGCGCACAGGCGCTGACGGCGTTTATAACAAATAATAGATATTCTTCATATAATGATTAATAACAAAATCGTAAAATCCTCTTATGACTATCTTAATACTAACAATACAAAAATATATATATATATATATATGGCTATATATGATTATATAATAATATTTCTTTTATGTTCGCAGGTCGAGTCATCACAGGACTTCGTGGGATGCTTCTACAAATCAGGTAAGTATAAATAATGAACTAAACAAAACTAATATGAATCTTTTCCGATTATAGCAGGTACGTGTATTGCAAAGACTAGGTTTTACCGGGACTCGAGATCACATTCTTACCTTCTCTAAGCCCTCGAGGTCCTAACTAAAATTATATAATAATAAGCCTAGTCGCATAATAAACAAAAATATAACATAACTTTTGATCGGTTTCGTGCAGTCATTTATGACTGACCTCGAGATCCTTTGATCTCGTGATTACCTGATCTCTGTCTCGAGGTCTACTCGGGACCAGTCAGCCACTGCAGAAGAACTCGCCTGTCGTCGTCTTCGTTGTCGTTCCCTCCGGGTCGATGCTCCGGGTCCTCACCCTCGCATATCTGCTTCATGATCTCGGGGTCCTCGGGGTCCGGATACTCGTGGTCACTTCCCTCGGGGTCAGGATCCTTCGGGTCACGTCCCTCGAGGTCAGGATGATCCCTCTCTCGTGTCTCGAGATCCGGTTCTCGCACCTCGAGATCCCGTTGGTCCCGGTCACTCACCTCGAGATCCTGATGATCCCGATCCTGCATCTCGAGATCCTGGTGATCCCGTATGGTCCTCTCGAGGTCAGGATGGTCACTTACGGTCCTCTCCCGGTCCGGATGGTGCTGGTTGCTCCTCTCCTGGTGCGGTCGATCCTGGATGCTCCTCTCCAGGTCCGGATGGTCCTGGATGCTCCTTGCACGGTTCGGATGGTCCTGGCTTGGTCCTGGGCGTCTGGTTGGTGTTGTTAGATTTTTTAGTATGGTTAGGTTGTAACCGGACGCCGAGTCCTTCCTCGAGTCCGAGGGGTGAAGATTGCAGATCCACAAGGTATGGAATAAGGTTGGTCGCCACCCGTCCTCTTTGTTGTCGCACGGCGCAGCACTCTGCAGGGATGGACGGGGATCCCGAGATAAGCAACACCGCACTTCACAGTGTAATTCACTTTGTTTATTGTTCTGTTGGAATACACAAGGTCGACTACTTACGCCCGGTGGCGTCTATATGCTGCGGCGAGGGCGCACCCCGATCGCCGAGTCGATTTACGCAGTAACGTCGCGTTCACGGAGCGGCCCTTCACACGACCGGAGGTCTCGACGGTCTAGGACCAACTGTTTGTACGGACGGTGCTTGCGCGCCTTCCGCACTCTCAAACTCTCTCTCTCACTCCTCCTCTCTCTCTTTCGTTCCGTCGCTCTCTCCAATCGTGCCAAGTCCGCTTCCCCATCGCGGACGCTAACATACGCACGCATGCGCAGACGTCGGCAGTCGAGTAACATAAATCTTTCATAATATGATTATCAAAACAAAACATTCTTATAAAACTCTTATAAAATAATATAAACTTATATATATATATATCTACATGCTTAAATAATAATATGATCTTTTTCTGTTCCAGGTTTGACGGCAGCGCGGGACATCGTGGGACATCGTGAGACGTCGCGGGATGCCACCAAACACCGGTAAGTATAACAAAAACAAAACTTCTAAATGATTTCTTTCAGGTCACGGATCTCGTGGTCAACGGGCCTTCGAGATCTTTATCAGGTACGTCGTTCCAGGTAAGTATCTTACAATACGTAAACTAGGTAATGATCACGGGATCATAATGATCCTTGGTCTCGCAAAACAAAATAAAAGATTCTATAATGCCTAGTCGCTGGGTATAATAAACTAAAAACGATATTCTTAAATAACGGATCCTAAGTCACCTCGGGAGATCTCGGCCCGATTCGGTAGCCTAGTCGTGATCACCGATCGCTCGAGGTCACCGTAGGTGATCTCTTATGATCTCCACAGAGATCTCTCGCGGTCACCAGTGACTCGAGATCACCTTCGGTGATCTCCCGAGATCACTTAGGATATCTACAGTCTACTCCGAGTCGGCAAGCCATCTCATGATCACGTGCTGGTCGTGATCTGTACCTTCATCAGGATCCTCTGCATACTCGTCCTTTCGGCCTAGGTCCACTGGGTCAGGATCGCTGCTCCTCCGTTGACCTCGGTCCTCGGTGGTCAGGATCTCGGGGTCAGGATGATCCCTGGCAGGCGTCTCGGGGTCCGGCTGATCCCTTGTCGACATTTCGGGTTCATAAAGATCCCTCAGCATCATCTCGGGGTCAGGATGATCCCGGATAGACCCTTCGCGGTCCGGATGATCCCTGGAGGACGTCTCGGGGTCAGGATGATCCCGGACGTAGCTCTCACGGTCAGGATGACTCCTCAGCGACATCTCGCGGTCAGGGTCATCTCGACTAGGATCCTTTGATCCCAATGCTCGCCATTCCGGTGATTGGGTTGGTCTGGTTAGGTTAGGTTAGGTTAGGTTAGGTTAGGTTAGGTTTTTAGTTTTTTTTTTTTTAGTATGGTTAGTATGGTTAGGTTAGGTTAGGTTAGGTTAGGTTAGGTTAGGTTAGGTTGTAACCGGACCTCTAGTGAAGACTTAAGTGCGTCCCGTCTCGCGCCGCTTTCCTGTCGCCGCTCATGGACGCACCTGAGGATGATTGCAGGTTCGCGCTTCTTTAAGCACGGATCGTGGTCGCCACCCGTCCTAAACGGTGTGTATAACAGGACCCTGGAAGGTGGACGGGAACCCTCGAGGGCACTCACTGCACTTTTGATCGTTTCCAGTTTTTATTAGCGTTGCACTACACCTTCACGCAGCCGCCGCGTCGTCGCCTCGCGTCGCGTCTCTCGGGGTCTTCGAGCCGGCACGTCCGGTCCGCTCGAACGCTCGAAGCCAACTCCCCATATTTCCATTCCTCTCTCTCTCTCTCACTCTTCCATTCCTCTCTCTCTCTCTCTCTCACTCTTCCATTCCTCTCTCTCTCCCTCTCACTCTTCCATTCCTCTCTCTCTCTCTCTCTCACTCTTCCATTCCTCTCGCTCATTCACCCCGACGCGCCGGCGCAGACAGCTCACTTGCTTGTTTGGTACAATAAAATTCTTTTTCTTATACAAAATCTTTTCCTTAAGATTAACCTAAAATAAACAATCTTTTTCTTAAGATTAACATAAAATAAACGATCTTTTTCTTAAGCTGCTTCATAAAATCTTTTTCTTAAGATTAACACAAAATAAACAATCCTTTTCTTAAGCTGCTTCATAAATAAAATCTTTTTCTTAAGATTAACATAAAAAAACTCTTTCTTAGGATTATACGAAAAATAAATCTTTGCAAAACAAACTTTCTCACGATTGATACGCGTCTTATGACTAATTTTTTTCGTTTCCTTAAGTACGTTCTTTGGTTATGTTTAGTTTTTTCTCACTCTCTTCTTCTCAAGCATCCGCCGGTCCCTTGGGCTTCTGGGCCTCCTCGACCGGTATCTCCGGGGGGTCCGGTCCGTCACGTCCTGGCTCTCCCAGGTTCGGGCGCTTCCGGTCCGGTCCCTGGGTGTTCCTCCGCGGCTGGTCCGGTTCCGGAGGGCTCAGGACCGGCAGGTCCGGCTCTGGAGGTCTCTCGCGCGGCCGGTCCGGTTCCGGACGGCTCTCCCTCTGGGTCGCCATTTCTGTAATTGTATTAGTCAGTTCGGTTAGGGTTAGGTTAGGTTTTTTTTTAGTATGGTTAGGTTAGGTTAGGTTAGTTTTTTTTTTTTTTTAGTATGGTTAGGTTAGGTTAGGTTGTGACCGGACCCGGATCTGCGATGTTCGGATCCGACGTGGGACGAAGCGATGGTAGCTCGCTGTCCCGACCGTGCGCCTGATCCCTCTAACCGCTTCGTCTTCAGCTTTGCCCCCTCGGCACCCTTTCCTGTCGGTCGCCACCCTATTTTTGATTATCTCAGAAAGTGTCAGTGTCGGAGAACAGGGAAACTCCGAGTAGATGCCGGTGACTGGAGTCTGCCCGCCTGTTTTTCTTCCGTCACGGAGAACAGAGGAAAACTCCGGGAATCCCGCGACTAGACTCACAGTCGGGCAATGATCCGAAGAAACAGCTTCGCCGTCTCTGGACGATGCTCTCCGCAGCGCTGTGTGAATAGGAGGGTAGGTGGGTTTAGCAAAGACTCACTCTGTCCTAGTCTCCTCTGGATGAGCGCTCTCAACAGCTCCGTAGCTCCTTGTCTTTGTCTGCCTCGAGGCTTCCCGCTCGCTAGTGCTCGCTCGCTAGTGCTCGCTCGCGTCCGTCTCTCGAGCCGCTTCTCGCAACAATGCTCTGCTCTCACGCGAGATCGCGCGAGTTCCCCCCGTTGTCTCCCTGTTTTTCTCACCTCCCTCTCGGACGACCACTTTTTTCACGCGCTTTCCGTTGCGCAATCCTTTGTCCTCGCGTGACAATTTGCGTCGTAGGAACCTCGCGTGTTTTTGTCCTCGCGGTCGTCACCCTTCCCTCTGCCCCTCTCCCACCCGCGCCTACACCCGCGTACACACCCGTACGGCAAAACGCGCGCACGCGAGTTCGCCAATAGGAACGCGCGCTGAACAATTCCGCGCGTTCGCTCCAGTCTGAGGAAACGAGAACGATCGACGTGGGAACGCCGAGTACAAGGAAATGCACCATATCGAGACTAAACCGCGTCGACCATACTCGACCAGCTATGGCGAAGCACCAGACCATACGCGATGCGATATGGTACCGGGCTGAAAACCCCGGTATGGTCGAATTTCTTCCCGCTTCTCCACCGGCCGTCAGTCCGACGCGCCACCTCAATCTCAAGAGGCTTCTCCCTTTCACCGTGCGCGCTCGCACTTGGCGCGCCGTGGGAACGGCAACGAGGCCGGCACGGAAACATGCTCTAGGCAGCTCGCTCGCTCAAAATGGCGAGCGGTTAGCAGACCGGAGGCGGGTAGAAGGGAGTGCATGGCAAGTGGAAAATGGCCGGGTAGGCGGGAGAGTAGTGTTAGGAGGATGTCTGTACGCATATAAAGAGATGCGCTGATGCGAGAGGGTAACTCAGGGAGAAGAGGAGAAAGATACAGCCAGGCAAACGGCCTTGAGAATGCAAATAGATATTGCGAGGCATATATTGCGAGGCATTTAGCCCGAGGCTGGGCCCCTCAGAACTTTCGCTCATCATCGGAGAAGGAAGGTGGTAGGTGGGAAGGAAGGTAGTGTTAGACGTATACAGGAGCGGGTAGGAAGGTGGTGTTAGGCTAGGCAAGACTCCTCCGAACATGGGCTCATCATCGGAGTAAATTGGCAATGCGCCGCACTGTGCCACCCCACGACGAGCTACCGCTCAGCGCCAACAATCTCAACGCTATCCTTGCCAACCGCCGCTAACACGGCGCTGCTCTCTTAAACGCTTTGCGCGTTTGTACAAAAAGAGGCAAATCAAAAATGCAAAAATTAATGCGAAAAGAAACAATATGCGAAAATTGTAAGATTAATAACGCGGTCGACGTCTGTCCCTCTTCTCAACGAGGGAGAATTTCACTCTGCGCGTGGACGCGTGAATCTACATTTTCTCTCCTTTTTCCTCTATGTATGAATAATATTGAAACGATTAATAATTCATAATTAATAGTTAAATTTTTTTTCTTTTCCTTCTCCAATTTTCTCTCTTTATATTTTTTTTTATATTTCTATAATATTTTGAAGCAAACTAAAAATATACGAATCCGTTGTGAGAATAAGTCTACATGGATATATGTGTATACAACGGAACGACTTGTCATCCTCCTAAGACGCGCGCTCAATCGGAAGAAACGCGATTACTCACTCGCTTTTTCATCGCGCTGCTGCTTCTCTTGCAACCAGGGCGGCTGCACCATGCCCCCGCTCGTTCCCTGAGTCGAGGGAAATCCTGCTTAGACGTCGGGGTCGACTTCGCTCGCTCGAGCGTCTTCGCGACCCGCGACGATCGATTCGTCGACTAGAACTCTTACCGAGTCGCTAGATCTGGCCGACTCGTTGTCGGCATCCACCGGAACGTGTATTATTTCCGCCATTTCTGCAATGAAAGGAGGCGAAGACGAAACCGGCGGCGTAAGGGTGATCGAGACGATGGGAACGGACTTGGTTTCCGCTTGTCCGCTCGTCGAAACACCACAAGTAACAGCAGGCCCTGGCGCTGTGGCTGAGGAAGACACATTTCCGCCGATCAACCGGATCTGAGAGCTCATCGATGCCGATTTTGAGGCTTCCTCAATCCTCTCGGCAGCGCTCTTTATTCTCAGTCTGGCGGATGCTCCCTCGCCGACCTTGGAGGATGTATCCGGCTTCAATTCCCGGCTGGCGTCGCGTTTTTTCCGTTTTCGGCACGACGTTTGTCTTCTTCTTCTTCTCCTCGCGAACCCTCGTGTTAGCTTCGGTATCTCTCTCTTTATCGGAGGAATCCTTCAACATGCGGGTTCTCTTCCTCTTGGATAATTTATATTCTTTCGATTCTCTGGGGGTCCAGATTCTGTACTGGCCTCCCTTGTTTCTCGGTCGAGGAATCGTTTTAATATCTACGTACGGTTCCCCGCTCTTCTTCACACTGCTCACCGATGAAATCAATTCGGTGGCTGATTCGTCGCTTTCCATCTTGGAAACTGTAGCGACGCCTTCGCGAGCTGTAGCAAGGCCGACGGCGCTATGTCGCTCGGCCGCGGCTCGACTAGTAGACGGTTGAGGCGATTCGCCGTTGCTCAGGCGATCAGTCGCCGTTTTCTTGCCGTCGCGGAGGGTGTACGTAGTATTCAATCGTACACCAGGTAAGGCTGCTTTCGAGCCGATGCGTCCGGCGCTCGACGTCCGTTGAGAGGACGGAGGTTCGCCGACGCATTCTTGGGTAAGTGCGATTAGTTTTCTCATCGCTTCGAGTTGACGCCTCTTCCTCGAGGTTTGCTCTTCGATCTTGCGTAGATTCGAACGCAAAATTTCCCTCAGTTCGGTCTCTTGACGGCGAACAAGGTCCCTCTCTTCGGTGGCCTCGTTCGTCATTCTCACGAGGTCTTTCAGGGACTCGCTCCTGTCCGAACGATTTTTTATAAGAGAATTCTTTCTCTTTCCAGCTCCTCCCGTTCCCTTGTTGGACGACATGCTGCTTTCCTCCGAGGAACTCGGCCTAGGGAGGGAAAATCGTTTTCTCTGAGTACAACTAGCGGGCGACGGTTCCGCGGAGTCGAACGCGCGCATCGGATTCGCCGTCGAATCCGGAACTTTATGTACGGAGTCGGAGAAAAAATTGCAAATTGCTTGCACTTGCTTAGGACGTCGTCGACGACGGAATGGGACCTCGTCGTCCGAAGAGTGTGCATCATCCGGAAGTTCCGGGTCAAGATCGCTGTGCGCGCGTGTAATATCCG